GGTTTTTTCCTGCTTTGTGCTTTATTTTCTTCTATTTCCATTGTTGCTGGTTTTCCTGCTTGCTTTGGGTTTTGTTTTGTTCGTTTTCCTGACTTGCAAAACTGACTATACGCTGCTGATGTTCATTCTTTCCGCTTTAATAACAGTACTTATTACACTGTGGTTAGAACATGTGACCTGAACAATTTTAGCTTCTTGGATTTAATTTGGCATTTTTTCACTATTTATGCATATCTGTCTGTTACTCTTTGTATTTCTATCAGTTTTTGCTCAGTATATTTCAATGAAATATTCCACACCCATTAAAAAAATTCTTTTTATTACTAAGTGATCTTCTTTGTCAATTTTAAACACTGCCTTGAATTCTACTTTTCCTGATGTTAGTATTTCTTTTCCTGGCTCATGTTTTTGTTTTCATTTGCTGATATGCCTTTGCTACTACAGGAGTTGTAAGCTTTTAAAAAATAACATTTAATCTTATTTGTCAGAGTCAAGTATAAAAGGCCATCTTTTATACTCTATATAAGACAAATATTTTATTCCCTGTACCATTCTACTTACTTTTATTAGTAAGATCCGAAAATGTTAAATTTAATTTCTATGGTTTTATAGACATAGTCTGATATTTCTTTGGAAATATTTAAAAATTATTTTGATATTTGCATTCCATTTTAGAACAAAATTTGAAACTCCTGTGTTTATTGGTTTTGGTGTTTGTCACCAGTGTGTTTATACCATGACTTTTCTCAAGGCTCTTATTTATTTTATAGTTGGAAAACATTCTTAACTACTTATTGCAAAAAAAATGACATAAATTAGAATCTTTTGTGAGCTTACTGCCGTGAGAGTACCTTGTGTTCATTATAGTCTGTGTCCCACAGCAGTCTAGCTAGGTATAAAATTCTTGAACTGTAAATTTTCTTTCTTAAGATCATATACATGTTGTCCCATGAACATTTGACTAGTTGTTTTCTAGTATGTTTATATATTTTTTTGGTTACTCTGGTATTTTATGTATTTAGAAAAGTAGTTGTTGATTTTTCTTGATTTTCTAAAAAAATTTTAGGGACCACTTTCCTTCTGCTCATTAATTCTGTCTCTGGTTGAAGAATCCTGTCTTTGCTTCTTATTTCCTCTCTGGCCTCTGTTTAAATTCTCTTTCAATCATACATCAATTCTCTCCTCTGCCTTATAGTAATATCTTTTCCTAGTTTCCATGTCTTCATACTTTTCCTCCAAGTTTTCAGAGTTTCTCCAATTAATCCAAGAATCAGTTTTCATAGTATCATTTCTGTTTGCTGTTTCCAGAGTGGATTTAAATTACGCTACTGGGCTTTAGATATTTGCTTTGGTTTTTCTTTTTTTGGTTTTTCTTACCTCATTTTCTCGTAGGCATCAGCTCAGTCTCATCTTTTATTCTGTTTCATAAAGGCTGTATCTTTTTAGTGTTTCAATCTGCCCTGCCCAATTGGTTACGTTTTATTAATGGTTGTTTTTAACCAACAGTGACAGAATTGACTAGTTGTGACAGAGCGTATGCGACCACCAGAGCTTCACATGTTCACCCCAGGGCCCTTTGCCGAGGACGCTTTGCAGAGATGCCTGTGCTGACGTGAGCGCCAGGTTCCTATCTTAGAGCACGGCTCCCACCCCCAGTTCGCACCAGCCTCTTACCTTGCCCTTCTCTTATTTCTGCCACCTGACTTTAGGTAAAATTGCAAGTTCAGTTAGCCGATGCAAGTCCTGGCTTTCTGGTCCCTCCTCTGCTTAATCTCCCCGGCAGAGAGTTTGCTCCTAATAACCCCACTCACTTCCTGCCCATTTGTTTTCTGGTCACTGTCTTTTGGTCTTCTCCTTTATTTCAGGAGCTTTCTGTTCTGACAAAGAGCTCCGTCCTGAGGTGAAATCCAGATAGGTTTTGCCTTTTCTACCGTCTGCCTTTAATTAATAGAGATTGCTCCCAGATTCTAGCATCGGGCCATCTATCAGTTTCATTCTTGGCATTCATGTGAATTTTCATTTTTCATTGTCATTATAGCTATTTTGGAACTCAACGAGAGGCCCCATAAGTGGCAGCCAAGTCGATGCCATATTGAAGGAGGAATCAAAGGTGTGATTCATCCACATTGAAGCAGTCACTGTAGCTGTGTGTGTCCTTGACAAGAGAAGCGATATGGGGACATTCTTATTCAGGGACTGCTTGTCCAGGGACCTTGGCTATCTGGGATACAACCCAAACAAAGCCCACAAGTAGCCAGATAGCCTTCACAGCATCCTTGTTACAGAGGTGATTCACGGTCCCCACGGGGAACTCTGCCCACTCCTTCCCTGCTTACCTGTGCTTTACACGCAGTTTCGGCAGGCTTGGTCTTTGTTTTCCCAGCTCACAGCTAATTCAGAATCAGTTGCTCTGAAAGCAGAAGGGGACTTTCTGCAACAAGTGTACTAATCTGATAAGAACTGTCAGCAACCAGAAAGGAAAGGTAGCACCCCCTCCCTGCCCCACACCACACACACACACACACACACAAACCACACACACACAAAGGTAAGGACGACCACCAACCCTGAGGTGGACGTTGAATTAACAGTCACCTTTGCCTGTCCTCTGCCAAGCTGGGTACTGGTTTTAACCCTAGGAGCTCATCAGAATCACCTGAGGAGTGCCCAAAACCCAAACCCTCAGGTCACTCCCAAGGCCACGGAAATCAGAACCTCTTGGGGGCAGAACCCAGAGCCAGGATTGGGAGCCAGGGTTGGGGTGTCTGCCTCTGTGGCCTGCCGCATTATACATACAACCCCTGGCAGGTGGGTCCCCAACATCTCTGGACTGAGAGTTCTCATCTGTGAAAGGGGCCCAGCTGGAAGGGTGAGAGGATCTCATACAGCATCAGAACGGTGCTGAGACAGCCATGACTGTGAATTGGTGAGCAGGGCTGGGGAGCGGGATCTCATTAGTTGATGATGGATGCTGTGGGTTTCCAGGGCGATTTCTGTGCCAAGTGGGCCCTTGGCTCTGAAGAAAAAGCTACAGTATTCATATGCCTGGGCCAGAGGTGCTAGAATAGGTTGTCCTGGACTAGTCTGTCTCCCTTCTGCCTGTGAGCCCCAGTTGCCCTCGGGCAGGCCAGCCTGGCACCTTTCCGAGTGCTGGTTTCACATCCGAAAGCTGAGCAGCACACCTCTGCTGCAAAGCCACCATAGCCTCGGGGGCTGGCAAACTCAGAGGTGCCCTCTTACCTGTCTGTCACGGGAATGCATCTTAAGGGCTCATGCAGGGGGTGTTTAGGGCTTCCTAGCTAGAAATGAATGTACTGATGTGGTTCAAAACTTCCCCCCAGATAATACAAAGCCACTAGCAGATTTGGGGTCGTCCCCCCGAGTGTGGTAGCACTGCACCATCCAGTTCAGCCACACAGTGGCTTTGCTGTGAGCATCATCTGTCTGTCCCCGAGCTGGCACAGACACGGCCAGCACAGCTGTTCCCAGCCAGGAAGCGCAGCTGTGACGGTTGTGGTAATGCTCGTGTGTTTGGGCTGTCAGCTCTCCCATCCCTGTTTCCTGGGCTCGGCCACAGTTGAGCGCAGGCCGTGCTCTCCACCAGCCCGCTCTGTGCCTCCAGAGCTCCCTGCTCCAGTAAGCGACCAGCTGCCCATCTGGCAGAAGAGACCAGTGTGTGACCTCTGAGATCCCTGGATCAGGCGTCCTGGCAGAGCAGCGCTCTGGAGCATCCTAGAGGAGCAGGGTGCTGTTTCTTTCAGGTTTCCTGAGCCTGGTGCCTAACTTTGGGCCACAGCAGGCTGGCCTTGGGGCCGTGGGGCTTGCCAGGCCCGGCTCCTAGGCAGTGGGATGGAGTCTGCCGTCTAACCCCATATCAGTGCATCCGTGGTCTCTGCAGGAGGCAGCTGCTTCTTGTGGGGCCAGAGGTTGCCTCTAGGGAAATCGCTTTTCAGTGTTCCCTGTAGACCTTCACCATGGCCTGGGCAGGTGACACGGAGAGGCCTGCCTTCCTGCCCTCGATTTTTCTCCCCTTGTCCCATGACCTTGGCAGATGGCTGACTTCCTCCGAGGCCTGGTTTCTTGTCTGCAGAATAGAAAGAACTCTCTGACCTCTGAGAATGGCTGTAGGAATCAAGTGTTTCTGGCATGTCCAGGGCTGGGGAGAGATTTACTTGGACTTGTGGTGGGCCGGGTCATCATGTCACACTGGGGTCCAGTGAAGGAACTGCATGTTTATCCAAGGAGCAGAAATCTCTGGCCGGAAGGGCAAGGTTGGACTGGGGTCCAGTCGCTGGGTCTGCCTTTGGGAGGCCGATACGACCACTGCTGGGGGCTGCAGTCAGCCACCTGTCAGGCCCAGTGTCTGCGCATCCTGCCCAGCCCTTGCTCAGGGGCTGGAAGCCCCGAGGTGATACCCAGCGGGTGCAGGCCCGTGGCCCTGCCTCTCAGCAGTAGGGCCCATTAGAACTGAACTCTTCTTCGTGGGGCATTTTATTTGCACACTCCAGTGGAGTGGACACCAAAGGGGCTTTCTAATGCTTCATGGACTGCTAATTTCCTCTGTGACCTCTTTTGTTGGGGCCTGACCCCAGCCAGAGGCCCTGCGCCATGAAAGCCAGCGCCTGACACAGACCCGGAGCGCAGGGTGACAATGAGGCCTCTATCGGCTTTAATCAGGCTCCAGTTGTGTCTTAAGAACAGGGGGAATTTATGTGGTGCTCAGAAACCCTGGGTGGCACGATTCAGGAGCCCCCAGAGTCTCTCACGGAGGCCAAGGCAGGGAAAGGATTCGTCAGGCCAGAGGAGGGGGGTCGGGCAGGGCCCCTTTGTCCCAGGGGCCTCTTTAGAAGGCCAGGCCTGCCCTGAATGGCCGCCCGCTTGGCCTGGCCCATGGGTATCACAGGCCTCTGGGTATTTAGGGAAGCGGCCTCCTGCTCAGCCCGCCAGCCTATTCATGGCCAGCCTAATTAGTTTTTGTCTGTGTTCTCCCCCTCTTGCAGACTGCGATTCCTACTGCAAGGCCTCCAAGGGGAAGCTGAAGATTAACATGAAAAAGTACTGCAAGAAGGACTACGGTGAGTGAGAGGGCCCTCTGTTCTGGGCCAGGCCAGGCAGGGAGTGACCAGCCGGGAGGGAGCCACGGACCGGTACAGTGGGCGGAGGAGGCATCCCTTCCATCAGAGTATCCCAGCCCCCGGCGTCTCTCTTTTACATTGGTCTTTAGGGACAGACTTCAGGAGGGGCCGCGGGGGCCTGGGGTTTCCCCCTACCTTACAGAGGGGCACCCAGGCCAGCGCAGACTCCTGAGGCTGCGGTGTCCAGGCAGGGCTGCGGCCTTCACTCTGCTGTGTGGCCGCAGACCACTCTCTTGTCCTCTCCGGTCTGCCAGGTAGTAGGCATTCAGCGCCAGGCTGTGTTGCTCAGAGTGAGGTCCTCTGGGCGTCAGAAAGGGAACAGGAGCCCCTCGTGTGTTTAGAATGTTCTGGGCTGCAGCTCGCTGGGGGTCTGCATGGTAAATGGCGGCATCCTACCTCTGGCTCAGGGATCCCCCCCACCCTGCTGTGGGAGCCGCCCTCACGGGGATCCTAGCTGGGCCGGCTGCTCCAGCTAGACTTGAAGGTTTTTCTGTAGTGTGGACTATGGTCAGGACCTCGAAGCACAGCATCATGCGTGGTGAGGCCCAAAGGAATTCCAAGAGCATCTAAAATGTTCTTGTTTTACTGTCTCTGTGTGAATGTGGGTACACATGTACCCCCACCCCCACATACACGGAAGCCAGGGCAGGACCCCACCTCACAGGCCGCTTGGCTTCCCACAGGCTGAAGCAAGAGCAGCTGGCCTGTGTTATGTGTCAGGAGTTGCCAGGCTATGGGCATCCACCTTCGGGGTCCCTCTGGGACCCACAGTAAATTCCCAGAAGCCCCTTTCAAAGGCAGGCACCCCAGGGCAGCTTAGAAACTTCCGACTCCCACAGGGAAATAAACCTGGACCTTGCTAACAAACAGCTGCTGTCTCCAAGCCACAAGGCGGGCCCAGGTGGTCCTGCAGGAAGCCCCAGGGTGTCCTCCCAGCCCTGGGGCTCTAGTGTCTGCTGAGGACCTGGGGACTTAGGGTAGGGCATCTGGTGAGGAGGGAAGGGAGGTTCTTTGCTTGTTTGGGATTTAGTCTTAAAGGAACCTTCGGGAGCCACCGCAGGAGGAGGCTTGGGGAAAAGGAGAGTTGGATGGTCTTTTTGAAAGGTACTGGTCTCCAACTTACTTTGTTTTGCCTGGAATTGAACTCAGGACCTTGTGCTTGCCAGGCAGGCGCTTGTACCACTGAGCTACTTCCCTGGCCCTGGCCTGCAACTTATGTTCTGTTCCTCAAGTGAAAAAATTGGACTTTGTGTCCCAAAATGGACCCTGTTTTCTACCTGATGCTTTTTGACTCAGTCTGGCTTCGTTCTGCTTAGACTTTCTTCCTTCAGTGAAGTCTGTCCCTGTCACCTCCGATATCCCAGGGGGTGCTTTGCCCCAGTCAGCACTGTCCTGGCCCCTGTACCCTTCGCAGCAGATCCTCTCTTCCTCTGCCACCTGACTGCCCCGCTATGGCTCAGGAGCCCACGGGCTTCCCACAGCCCTTCCCCTACTGCGGCAACCCTGGGAGTGGGCGGGGCGTCACTCTTGGGGAAAAGCATTTGCCTGCCTCTGGGTTCCCTGTGGCCTCTGTTCCCTAACTGCCCCCACCCCATATGCCTGACTTGTTCCCGTTGTCATATGAAGCGGGCACAGGGCAGTGGCTTCAGTTCCCTTGGGTCACAGATGGGACATGGTCTTGCTTGGTCATAGCCATGTGGTGGCCTTGCCTCCTGGGCCTTCCACAGTGGCTTCCCCTGGACCTCGCCTTCCCCACCAAGATCAGCCCCAGGCCCAGAGAGGTGAAGAGTGGGCACACAGCTTCATGGCAGTCCCCACCCAGGTGCCTCACCCATGTCTCTGCAGGGTCAGACCTGAGAAGCAGGTTGCAGGGGAGATGTGGGGTGCGCCCCCTGGGAGCTGATGAGACCTGGCCCTGTTTTGTCTCCAGCTTTAGTGTCCTAATGATAGCCCCAGCTGCTGTCTCACACCACCTCTCATTCTCCAGTGCCCTGTGTGTGTGTATGGGGGGGGGCTGTTTCGTGTGTCTGTAATAAAATACTCAAGGCCAGGTGACTTGTAAAGGAAGGTGATTTATTTTGGCTCACCGTTGCGTTCTGGAAGTCGCAGAGCAAGGTACCGGTACCCACTCAGCTTCTGGTGAGGGCCTCGTGCTGCAGCTCCTGATAGGAAGCGGGCTCACGCGATGGAAAGGAGAGGATGAAGGAGGGGAGGTTATCACAGCTCCACCTCTGGGGTGCTGGTCCACTCCTTTGGGAAATACATCAGTCCCTTACAAAATACCTCTTACAGGCCCCACCATCTCTCAGTGCTAGTCTACTGGGAACCAGGCCTCAGCGAAAGTTTTGGTGGAAACAAACCACAGTCAAACCCTAGCAGGGTGTTTCTGGCTCCAAGACTGTCCCTGCCACATAGGGTTGAGTCTAAAAGTTGAGTCTCCCTAACCTAGCTTAGGCTGGGAAGCGTCTGGTGGGGGAGTCTGGCTTGGGGGAGAAGGAGCAGGTGCCATCCATGGGTGCCACAGGGCCGCCTGGCAGCAGTGTGGCCCTTGCTCTGAGGCTGGGGATGAGGGCTCTGCTGTGTCTTTAGGAGAATCTCATGCATCGTTGGTAGGCACCCTGGATTCTTGGGTGAAGGGTATTTGCCTTGTGTCCATCTTAATCCTGGGGAAGATGTGAGCCATGCTAGGGAAAAGTGGACAGGAAGAGGCGGCAAGAAAGAGCTGGACTGGGGACAGCCAGATGAGGCCAGGCAGGGATGTCCAGCTTCCTGGGTGCAGAGTGACTTCACAGGGGGCCAAAAAGAAAATACATTTCCTTCTGTCCAGGGTGCTGGAGGCCAGTGCAGTTGCCTACAGGCCCTGGACCCCTTCCTCCTCCTCCAGATCTACTCAGGAGAAGCTTGATGAGCTGCCAGTGGAGAACACAGGTTCAGGGCTCTGCCTGACCCTGTGCAGGGGCCACTGGGCAGACGATCAGGCTGAGGAGGCTGGTGGGAAAGGCCCGGGCGGGCTGGCCCTGCAAAGGCAGCTCAGCCCTCTACTGTCTTGGGCCTGTCTTTCAGGGAGCCTGCACTCAGCCTGGGAGGGTTGGGGTGGACCCCAAGAAGGCAGGTAGGAGTGGGGCTCGGGGAGGGCCTCAGGGCCAAGGCTCTGCCACTCCGGTCCTTTCCAAAGAGACCCACCAAGCTGGGAGGTGGCCCATACCATTCTTACCTGCAGGGAAAAGAGTTTTGGCTCTTCTGTTAGCTACCACAAAATACTTGGAGGAGCTAATGTTACTGGGCTCTGGGGTACTGGAGTTTCTTTCTAGAGGAGTTTCTAGATTCTTTCAGTCCTGAACAAGAGTTGGACAAAGTAAGTGCTGCAAGAGGTCGTGGGGTTTTACATTTTTAAAGGTAGGAGAAGAAACATGCCCTGCAGGGTGAGCAGGGACCGATTAAAAGGAGAAGCAGCACCCGGAGAGAGAGAACCGCTGTGAAACGGAGTGGACAGTGGCCAGGCGCTCAGTGGGCAGCAGAACTACTGAAGGCAGCGCCCCAAGTACAGGGCTTTGGGGAATGTACTGAGCCCTGCGGTCACCAGGCCACAGCCCCAGGGACTTTACTGTGCCCTACACTCTCACCACAGGGAGGTTTATTTGGGCCCACGGTCTCTAGCTCCATTGTTTCAGCCCGGAGCGAGGCGAAATGGTGGCGTGAGGGTGCCACTCACCTCACGGTAGCCAGGAAGCAGGGAGAGGGAAAGAGCCTGCGCTGGCAGCCTGCCTCCCCCTCCCCAGCCTCTGAGATGGTGCCACCCGCTGTCAGAATGGGTGTTCCCCTGGGTTTCCTGTCCTGTCACAGGCCGACTGCCTCTGGCTACAACCCGCAGACCCACCCGGAAGTGTCTTTAACTTCCCAGGTGAGTCCCAGTCCAGTCAAGTCCACAGGGACCTTTGCAGTCTGGGCCTCAGTTTCCTGTCTGTTAGATGAGGAGCAGTCGAGGGGACCTAAGTGAGACAGGGACCACAGCTCCTGCCACGCCACATACCATTTCTAAGGGACAGCAGCCGTGGTGACACTGTTAAGGCACATGTCCCTACCTCTCCTGGGATACCTCAGTCCTCTGTTGCTCTTATGGAATGGAGCTCACCTTCCAGATGCCCGAAGAAGAGCCATGGTGAGGGTGGTGGTCCAGGCCTGGAATCCCAGCAGCCCGGGAGGCTGAGGCAGGAGGATCACAAGTTGAAGCCCAACCTGCGTGATTTAGTGAGGCCCTTTCTCAAAATTAGACAAATAGATAGATAGATAGATAGATAGATAGATAGATAGGCAGGCTGGGGATGCGGCCTGTGCAGAGACTCTGGGTTCAATCCCTATTACCTTGCCCCCCCAAAAGCAAGCCAATGTGAAGCGTAAACATGGAGCCCTTGTTTGTGGAAGATGCGCTGTATTGTTTCCAGTGGCTCGTAGCTCCTGCCAACCGCTCAGAGAGCCTCGCCTTGGAGGCGCCCTTTCTAGGCGAGGTGCTCTCGACCAGCGTGTGAGTGTGTAAGTGTGCACACACTATCAGGCAAGCCTCCTGCTGGGGGGGGCTCGCGCAGAGCAGAGCACACCCTGGCCGAGTGACCAGCCGGTCGCGCATGCATGTGGAGGCCCTGGCCCCGGAGCCTCCCTGGGTGTCTGCTGTGCGGCCTCCTTCCCTTCCTTCCACTGAGGCCACATCTTTCCTGCACCCCTGAGCAAAGGCTTCAGTGTCTGCCCCCACTCACCTGCTCATGTTTATACAACCTCCCTGTCTCATCCCATATGCTCACAGACAGACAGACTGCACAGACACTGTGCATACACTGGGATAGCAGTGCACATCCAAAGAAGTACTGGTCACTCACACCCACTCCCTACCCCAGCCTTGAGTGCCTGCTGGATGCCTTCCCCTGTCCTGGGTTCCATACTCACAG